ATATATATATATGATCTTTCTTCGAACAGTAAATTTCATTGAAATATACACCAAAACATTCCAGCTTCATTACATTAAAATAACGCAAGTTTTTTTTTTATGTCAAATACAATACATTCTACAGTCTCTCAGTCGAATTTAATCACATTAGTCAATGTACACAACGTGCCTAGAAACTAGATACACTATAGCTGCGTGCTTTACAGTGTAATGAACTGCAAGCCATATTGTATCACGCACTGCAGGAGTCTGCAATTTGTTCTAAATGACATTTTTTTGTTAGAATCGGTGTAGAATATACTCTTTGAGAATTGTTAATTAAGAGTTTCTTAATTTTTGTCGCCTAATGCGAATCGTTTATGTATATTTGTAACTCCTGCTAGAGAACCTCGCTTGTTATTGCACACATGCAAGTTTTATACGAGCATATAATTGTCCGCGTACATGTCGTCGATTTTCTCCATTGAAATGTGTTGGAAAATTTCTCTTAGCAATTGATAGTAAGATATTACTTTAGGACGTAAGATGCATTAGCAGGCGGATAATTAAGTGTTTACCGCTTACGTTCCCTATTTTTAAATAGTTATAATTTTAGAGAGCTATAATTTATTTTTGTATAAGATCTCGATTAAGTTAGTGTGCTGTGAAATTGCCATATCCTCGAAATGATGTTATCATTTACATTGTGATATTCTGATCAAAGTAGAAATTATGAAGTAGATAACGTATATAGACGTGAATTTCTTTTGAAAATTTACGTTGAAATAGTCATAGAAAGTACGAATCTATTCTCTCTATTCCATAATTTATACATAATCTAATTTTTATTTAATTCTCATCTCAATTATGATTGTTCTTTAATCAAATACATTCTACCAGCTTTTGCTCTTTCATATGTTACCTAAAATACTTTTAGTGTATAGATTAAGCTATCATCATTATTTTAGTTTGGTTAACATCATGTAAAAATAATATGACGGATTCACTCCTTGTCCTTCTTGAGTCATACAATTAAAGTAACAAAAGTACAACTGTATCCAACCAAAGAGGATAGAGTTATATTCACAATAGATTATATCTTTTATTACGTAATAATGTATTCATTATAGGACAGTGAGACAGAACAATTGCAGAACAAAGTACGAATAATTTTAAAAATATTTTGATTTAGACAATGGCACAGAATGACAGAGGAATTTATGACAAAAAGTAATAGATACTGTATATATTTTGTATTGTTGATTTAGAACAGACTTTAGATTAACTTATATGATGTAATATGTAATGTTACACTGTAAATTTATAATTGTTTAATATTATTTGGTAGTATTTATCTATTTTGTTAAAAGGATTATTCTTGATACAAATATATTTAGAAAATTTGTTTATGATTTCTTTATTATTTTTTATAATTTGTTTATCACGATAATTATTTTTTGTAATAAAATTTTTTACAAATGGGGATAATGCATAAAAATTATTAGGAATAATATTAAAAATTTATGTTGCATAAGATGACATGTTTATTAAGTTTTATGTGTTAGTAATAGTATCACATATTACCCGTAAGATGATCTCATCATAATGCAACCTGTTTTTAGTTTACTTAATTCTTATCTTTTAGCAGTATTAGCACATCTCTCAACTTCTATATATAATAAATGTATGACCTGTATCCTTTGGAATCATAAATAATAAAAATTATGAAAATGACTACTTTGTCACAATCACAAATATGACTATTTTGTGAAAATGTTATTGTTAATTTTGTTGCACTATAAATGTAACCATGTTATAAGAATTCTGAACGATATATTTTATCATTTAGGAATTGAAATATTTTTGTTTGTGTTACATTAAACTGTATTTTTTTAAATTAATTTTTTATACTGCTGTGAAAGTGTTTTATACATAGAACATAATATACATTATGATGATTTGTAGAATCTTCTCTTTAATGACGTTTCACTTGGCCAACGAGTTTTAATCTGAAATATTTAATACTTTATATCGTGTAAATATTCATAAAATGTTCATGTCATGTTTTACAAATGGTACATTCAGGATTCTTCAAACGCAAGTATTAACTTTAACAATTATGTACCTCATGTGTTAATTTTTGCACATTTTTTCTTTTATTTTTAGTATTTTCATTATCCGAATGCTCTAAAGTTTCTAAAGATTCAACGGAAGATGTACTGTGCTTCCTATCGGAATCGAAATCGAAAACTATTTTGGGCATTATATTATTATCGGCTTTTTTTGGAGATCCAATTATATACCAATGATATATGCCCTAAAAATATTGTTTCAAACATAAAAATAATTAAAATTATGTATAAAAAAAATTACGATATACCACTTGTGATAAAAATTTAGACAAAAACTTACAAATACTACATTAAATTTCACTCACCCATAATATACCAATCATCCAGAATAGAGTTAAAGCAAATGTTTGCATACTTTATTTGATTAATATACATAAATTTTGTTTGATATAATCTTAAAATTTTATATTATTTGAAACATTGAAAATTTTGACATGTTTAAATTACCAATTATTCCGTACTCATTTGTTACATTTTAAGCATTTAAATACAATTTCATGACATATAAAATTTGCTGGAATTTTAAACAAAGTAATTACAAATAAGGAAATATATTTACGTAAAATATATACATTTTTTCTAAAACTACAATACATATAAATTTTATGTATCATCATTATTCTCCACATCCATTTCTTCTTCATCGTTCTCTTTTGTGTCATCTGGTATCGTAAGTTTCTTAAAACCATGTTTTTCTGTGTATACTCCCAAAAGTAATAATTTAAAAACCGCTAGTGGTTTGCCTAATAATTTCTACAAAATATATATCAGGATTTAGTTTTAATGTCTCAATGCAGAATGTTACAATATATATACTCTACATATGTATACGTAAAATATGTACCAGGATTTGTGCTTGTTCCGGTGTCAGTGCTTCATCCTTTTTACAAACTGTGAATGGTTTAATCAAAGTAATAACTCCTTTTTTCAATGATGTAGGCATACCCAATTGTCTTAATTGTGGCTCCATGCTATGTTGAAACTGTGGCAGAGGACCTTCAGGTAAGTCTACTGTTTCAGGTGTTACAAATCCAGAACGAGCATATTCCATTTCTTCATAGCTCTCTGCCCATTCTATTACCTAAGCAAATACATTCGTAATATACATATAACATGAATCTTTCTTCTTATTATAAAATCTTAAGATATATTTCTATAAATATAAATAAATATAGTATATAACAAATATACAGATATAAATAAATATTACACATATATATGAAATTCTCTTTATCAAATATTTGTTTCAAATATAATTTAATATTATTATTTAAGTCTTTTTACATATTATATACCTGTTTCTTTGGTCTATTAGTAAATAATAGACCGCACTGGCCTTTCATCGAGTAATTCTTCAATGCATTAGCTAATTTATGTATACCTTCTGCAATCTCGGTTTCTTTAGATTTTCCAAGACCTAGTGCAATTATACTGAGCTTTCCAAAGAAAAGTTTACTGTCTTTCCATTCAGCACGTAAATCAAAAAGTTTAGTGTTGCGTGTATTTTGAATAGAGATTAGAAATATACGACTGTATTCTTCTACACATTTCTTAACATCTTCCATAATCCTCTGCTTTAAGACTAAACCTTTTCTATCAGTTTTAGTGAGAGAAACTGTAAAATAAAAATATTAAACAATGTCATATATTTATCTTACACATATATACTTTCTATTATTAAAAAAGTACCAAAAAAATAATATTGCTTAAAATTATTAACTTGTTACAATAAAACTATGCAATAAAACATTAACTCATGAAACTAAATTGTAACTTTTTTAGAGGTTAATTGAAATCAAGTTATGATTGTGCTCCTAAAAATATTTTTTACATAAATACGCAAAAATATACGAAAAATATTTAGGAAATTACTTTTTTTATCCCTCTTTGATTTCGGCATCTTTAAAACAAAATTTTTTCACAAATTAGAAAGTAGCTTAAGTAGTTTATATACAGTATGCCATGTGCTCTCTACTTCAACTGCTGAATGCTGATTGGAGTTTAGCATAGAAAGGCCTTTTTCCTGTAACTGACAAAATCCAACGTCGCTGATAACCATTTTCGGTCTGGGAACTACGTGGCTACATCCATTTTCTGATTCTATCGGTAAAATCATAGAGCAAAGAATCCTACGTCAAAAGTGGATACAAGCGATATATAACTTGATTTAATTATTTTGATTAAAAATTTTGCTATAGAACTTTAAGTAATAATGTTTATATTTGCGTAGTGTTTAAATGATTCACAATTTTTAATTTACATTATATTTCTTTTCCTTTTACTCTTTCCAAAAAAATTTTTAATTGAAATAGAAAGTAGTTTTTTAATTTGTCACATAACGATATTTAAACAAGCATTTCATAATTTATTATTAATTTATAATATTAAAAAAAAGATTCTATATTAAAAAAAAAGATTTTATTATTTGTTATAATATTCATTTATATTTTTAAAGATTGATTGAATATTATTATATAAGTTAAATTTTTCTTTCGTACAATCTCTTCGATCATCTATATTGATCTGTTTTTTGTTCCTGCACTAGACTGAACTAGAACTCTCTTTCTCACTTTCTACAAATATATCAAACGTATACCTATCTCACTTTAAGTTCTAAAAGTGTACACTATTTCAGCCACAGAAAACAGACCTTATTAATTCTAATTTCAGTCTAGTGCAGGCGACCGAATTCGCTATAAGATGTAGATTTTAATCGTGGAAAAGGAATTTTTATTCCGTGAAAAATTGTATCGCCAGTACGTAGCTATGTAGTTCCCAAATTGGAAATAGACGTACTGGCGCTAGTGTATGAGCGATTTTGACAAATTCATGAAGAATATCAGGGGTGCATTCATAAATGAACGCCCGGACGACAACTTTTTACCTAAAAGCTGCGTTTAGAATCATCATCTGAGTGCACCCACGTGTCGTATTATCCTTATTTATCATTTGTGAACAACAAGGATAAAACAACATCTGGGTGCATCTGGATGACGATTCGGAACGCACCCCAGGCTACATTCGGAAATATCACTTTGGTATCCCCGATTATCTTATCCTTGTTGTTCATTCGATGTTAAACAAGGATAAGATGACACACGAGGGTACTCGGGTGATATTTCCGAACGTAGCCCAGGATGAACCCTCTCAAGTTTCTCTCTGATGTGAGTTTAGACTAGTTTAGACATTACAGACAATTACAAAGTGGGCGCTATTGAAAGAAATCGCAGTTTCTTCTATATAATTCAGAGAAAAAAAGAAAATTTTTTATATATTTAAAATTTTGTTATTTATTTAAATACCATTAAAATTCTAATCTAGATTTTTGTAAAGAGAATTATTTTTTATCTTTCTCCATAGTATTCATTTTTTTATTTTCCAAAAAATATGTGTTAAGTAAATATTCAATTCAATGTAACAACATAATTGAATACGAAGTCTCTACAACAATCTAGCTTGGATCTTAGTTGCTTATATATAATTTCGCGTGAATTTATATATTAATATATGTAGTCTTTCTAAACTGCGCTCTGATAAGAATAAAAATCCTTTACTAACGATAATTAAGTCACTCAATATTATATTATAACATTATATAATTGTAGCACAATTTATTGCTGAGATATTGATTAAAAATATATTGAGTCAATAATATTGCGACAATAAATTGTACTACAAGATTATGGCTTAATAACTGTATATGTGTATATTTAAAGTGTATATACTTTATACTATATACATATATATATATATAATATATACACGGCATTATATTTTGTAAGTATAATATATATTATTTTTATTTTATAATATACATTTATATAATGTATTTGGAATTTTTATTGGATTCATTTTTTTTTAATTATATATCTTTTATTAAAATTATTAAACAATTTTTTTTATTATTTCTATAATTAATTTTCTTTATGTTACATCTGCAATTTGGATTATTCCTAATATATTTAAGTGTTAATATATTCTCTAAATTTTTTTAGAATGAAATCTCACTTCAAAAAGTTAAAACTGAGCCAGTCTTAAAAAAGAGTGATTCAATTTTTGATCTATAAGAGTGAGATTTTGTTCTTCAGAATGACAATTAATTCTAAAAATTTTAGACCCCGTTGCATCAACGTTACTCTGACTTTAAGCAAGGCTCAATACTTCTCTTCTCACTTTTCGAAGTGCTCTTTTAACAAGAAGACCACTTTCCGCAAACGGCAAACGAGCGATTCGAACGAGCGCGCCGCATTGCGCCGGAAGCGGACGCGCGAGCGCCCGGCAAGATGGCGGTTTCCGCTAGTCGCGCCAGTGCATTCAGCGAGAACGTAGTGAACGGTAGCTGTTGAACACGTCGAGAGCCCGATTTCCCAGGCCGCTTACAGCACTCCGAAGGTGAGTCTGCTTCATCTGGTAGCCGTTCACCTTCATATCAAGACACTCGCGTCGGGATCGCGGCCACCTTTGGTCGCGTCTTCGGCGGATCGCGCGACGTGCGCCGCAACGCGGCTCGTGTGGACCCCGTAGCCATGCCGCCCGATGTCGAGGCGGCCTGCTGCTCGGTGATCTCGCCGGCGACGACGGTCGCTGGGGTATATTTCGCACCTCTGTAAAGATATCGGCGAAATCGAGTCGGATCTCTCGGGATTATTTCCGACGGGGATGATCATTTCGTACGAGCGACAGATCTGTTCGCGCTCTCCCTCCCTCTCTCTCTCCTTTTCTCTCTTTCGGCTATGTCGCCGCGATCGACGGCCTGAAGGCGGCCGCACCGATGACGCACGAGACGCCGTGCGAGGAAAAGAGAAAGAGAGTGCGAGGAGTGCCAGTCGTCTCGTTCCTCGCAGCCGCCATGTTGCTTTCGCGGCCGGCGACGGAAATTCCGACGCACGTTGGCCGGGCCATCTCAAGAAAATGATGCGTCGATGGGATGTATCTAGCGCTACCGCAGCTAGTTGTCAGATAAGGGACGATAAGGGACGACAAGGGACGACTAGAGGCTGATGATTAACGAGCGGATGGGAGGGAAGACTCCGCCGGAGCTCGCTCGCCCGATCATCGATCGCTCTTTTTCCTCTGTCTCTAGCCATCTCCTTCTCTTCGTCTGCCGCTCGCCCACTTTTTTTCTTTTCCTTCTCGAGATTCTTTTAACTCTTATTTACAGAACCGTCATTCGTAAGGGGTTATTGTTTGCGATACCGTAATCGTATTTCGGCGTCATTTAAAAATGTCTCCGGCAGTTTCACGCGCAGGTGGGCGGCGCGTTAATTGCGCGTCGCGAGAGGTGAGGAGGGTCTCATATCTTTATCGACGAGTCGCGAGATTAATAACGTGAATAATTGCAGTGGAGGGTACCTCGCGCACTGACGGAGGTCGATTGTGTATTTCGAACGACATGAAAAAATTGCAAAAGTGAATAAATTCTCTTGGTGTTGACCAATGAAGTTGTAAATATTCTGACAAATTCGCTCACTTTTTTAGTTTTCACTTTGTTTCAAAGGGGGTTGTATATCTTAAAACGAGATGAAAATTACAAAAATGCGTGAATCAACCAGATGTTGATCAACGAAATTTGTAAATATTCCAATAAATTCACTCGCATTTGTAGTTTTCACCCCGTTTCGGGATATACAATCGATCCCAAGATCGATCACTAGGAGGTCAATTATGTATCTTGAACCGAGATGAATATTACAAAAGTGAGCGAATTCACTTTACAGCTTTGATACAGGAATAACTTTCGTTAAAGTATCTACAAATTTAGCTAAATACGTATCCGAAAATAATTTTGTCGAGCTACATATAAAAATACCTCTGTAGATCACTTAAACGTTGATGACAATGCTTGCAAAAAGTTAATTAACCTCCTAACACACTCACTTGAAGTTCTATATAATTATTTCGTTACTTCGAACAAAATTTTCAGATTTGTACTCAACTAAATTTTCAGGTACTTCAGCAAAACTATTCTGTCTGTACAGATACGATGAAAAGAAGTATAACATACAATAGGAGCAAGGAATAAAGCCTTATACACAATTGAAAAGCATCAATAAGAATAGGATACAGATCATATGACAATGTCTGGCCACGAGCAATTTTATAAAAACAAAAGTACAAAAGGAGGGTATTATGTGTACTGTCTCGTTTTATATATGCTATTATCTCATCTCATTCTAACTTATACTGTCTTATTCATTCTTAGGCCTAGTTTTTCATTATCTGGTTAACTTGTGTTTAGGTTTAACCTGATATTTTATTCAATGAGCTTTCATTTACGATGGTGTCATGGATGAAGCCCATTGGTTAAAGTATCAGGTTAAGCTTTAGCAGGTTTAACAAAGACTAATGGTTTTTTTTTTTTTTTTCTAAAAATAAAAACATATTTCTTTTTAAACATGTTATTAATGCTTCAAATATGCTTTAAAAAAACATATTTAAAATATATTAAAAATGTCGATTAAGCATGTTTCAAACATGTTTAAAACATGTTTTTTTACCAACCCTGAACTTTACCACAAGTTAACTAGATAATGAAAAACTGGGCCTTACTGAAGGTAATAAAAATGATAGGCTAATCAAAAAATCGTTATATATCAGAACACACAGTTTTTGATAAAGTTTGTTAAGTGGCGTGATCTCCACAATGAGATTTTAAGGCGCAAAACTTAAGCTTTGAATCTCAAGTCGTATGAAATTGTCCAGTCATCGATTATTCTCCTTACATTCGATTGTATAGTTGGTCAATTTTTTACGACTCTCATCATAGACGTCGCTTTACCTGTGCTTTTTTTAGGGCTTTTCACTTTGTTTCAAAATACACAATCAACTTGCCACAATTTACAGAGATCAAAGGAGATTTCACTTTATGCGCGCTTCTCGCGCACAAACTGATAAATGTGCGAAGCTCAGGTGATCCACGGAACAGGTGATCTACATGTGTTGCAAACATGTCATCTGTTCTCACGTTAC